GGAGCGTTTGAAGGGTCCGTAGATTCAACAGGGCTTAATAATTGCTGCCTCTCTGAAGGCAGAGGACTGTTTGACGGTGCTACTCTGTTGTCAGTAAACATGCCATTCAGAGGGTGTGGGAGTCTGAGCCGTGGAAGAGCCAGTTCCGTGGACCATGTTGTCTGTCCGCCCACCCTTAACAGCAAGGGAAGTTCTTATTGTAACTGCCCGCTCTTTGGTAAGAGCACTGTATGCATTGTCAGTAACTGCTCTTCTATTGGGGTATATCTGATACCAAATCCAAGGACACTCTTTCCTTTTGCTGTTTTTGCCAGAATGCCCAGCCCATGCCTCCAGGGTGACTGAAACATCTAACTCAGATGGTAACCCTGCCGGGGACATTCCAAGGACTTTAATTTGACCAGTACTTTTATCTTCTCAAAGGCAGCCTGTTGTTTGGCTCCCTAAATCCCACATATGTCCCTACTTAACTAGACAATATAGTGGTTGAAGGCACTGTGCTATGTAGGGCATAAATGTTTACCAGTCCCCCAGAATTCCACAAAATTCTCTTCCAGATTTTTAGGGGATAGATTAGGCTAGTACTTTGTGACAATGCAGGTCTCATGCGACTCTAAAGGACTTTACTGCAGTGCCCGGACCTGGAATTTTCTGCATATTCCCTGCCTGTCCTCCTTGTTGTAGGTGGTTCAGGAAAGCCTGCAAAGTTTTCTGCACAAAGCAAGTCTTCACAGGTTAGCGTTAGGTCATCAATATGAGCCCATTTCACAGAGGTCGGGAAGGAAGACACTGCCAGGTCCAGAGCCACCATCCCAGGGCACATGGTGGGGCGAGGCAAATTGCCTGGAGGGACCAGCTGGAAGGCAAACCCAAGTGAGAACACATTTTCTCACAGTTCTTTGTCACTGTGAGGGCATCAGCCTTGCAGCAAGGAAAGGCTACAACCCATCCAGAAGATAAACACACAACAAGGATATAATGGAGAACAACACCAACTGCATCCGGTGGATGGTTGGATGGTAGTTGCCATCAAGGTAGATGGAGTGGCAGTTGAAATAAGTCCTGCTTAAAGGCACTAGGGTGAATGAAGGAACGCAAATACTGAGACATGGCGTTTTCCAGGGAGCCTGGAAGAACCAAGTGACTGTCAGGTTTCCCATAGCCCTGTCTCTTCATTTGATTGACAACCCTTGTTTGCCCATCTTAATTTCCCTGACTCAGGAGCAGCTTGTTGCCATATTACAAGGACATCAGAACAGCAGAAATCTGGCAATGAGGGGTCATCTTTGCAGAAGCAGGGTGGACTTCATCCATATGTGCCATAATTTCATAGATTTTGTTGTTGCTGCCTTTTGCTGAAAGTCGTCCAGCGTATTTCAAATGCAGAAGCTTAGCTTTAACTATTGAGAAGATTCCATTTTCTTTAGTAATCGAAGACCTGATTAAGACAACGTAAAACCCAGAAAACTATTTTTTAAATTAATGTTTTTATTGATTTCAGAGAGGAAGGGAGAGGGAGAGGGAGATAGAAACATCAATGATGAGAGAGAATCATTGATTGGCTGCCTCCTACACGCCCTGTACTGGGGACCGAGCCCACAACTCAGACATATGCCCAGACTGGGAATTGAACCATGACCTCCTGGTTCATAGGTTCAACTACTTAGCATGCTGGGCCAGAAAATTATTTTGCTAAAATATAGAATCTTTGTTTTCTAGGCAGAAAACATTATAATATCTTATCAGGAGCAGACCCACAATCCAAAAAAAATTTGTCTTTTTAACTGAGAGAAAGAGAACCAAACTCTGTTACAACAGCTTACTTTTAATATTTAAATCCACTTAATTAAATCCATTTTAATCTTGGCAAGTTTGACCACACATTAAAAATATTTTCTTCAAAGGCTTCTTTTCATAAACCTTCTACAGTTATTGCTAACGCTGTCACCTAAAGGCCTCTTATTCTACTTACGTCTATTTATTTTATTGGGACCTAACAATTATGTTTAGATTACCCACAAAACTTGATGAGACTTTAGATAAAATCAGCCTTCATTCTAAATTATTTTTGCTGATTAATTTTTAGCCTAGGTAAAACAAAAGGTAAAGATGTACCTGTTTTAATTAAACTACCAAACATAAGCTAGTTTTAATATTTTTTCCCAAATCTCTTGATCCTTAAAAGCATTTAGGTTGGTTTCTGTATTTCTGACAATTTTAGAATACTCACTCCTTAATTTAGTGCTTAAATCTTTTAAGCCAATTAAACATAGCTCTTTTACCAGTCAGCAATACCACGTGAAGGTAGAAAGTACCACACAAACACCACATGTATATAGACACACATGAACATACAAACAGAGACCTCATGGCTTCCATAGAAGAGTGTGCTCTGCTCAAAGGGCCCTTCCTCCCTCACCTCTGTCAGCTGTCCCGAGCTAACAGAGTGTAGATATTCCATGTCTTTTTCTAGTTTCAGTTCTCCTCCTACTTTTCTAACCATGGCTTCTAGCTGGGTGTCAGTGGCCTGTCAAACCACCCACAACAGGGACCAGCCTATGGCTGTGGCCATAACTTTTCCTGCCTTGACCCAGATGTTTGAGATCACCTGGCATTTTGGAGGCATCCCTGTACTCACACATCTATCGAGTATAGGGGCCACCCCACATGGATGTATATGCCCAACCTGGGATTTCCCCTCCAGATGCCCTTTTCCCAAAGCCCCCCTTTTTTTTAGTCTCCTGCCTGGCTTGCCAATTGTGAGTTATACTCAAACCCCGGAAAAGCCCAGAGAAAGAAAGTCTACCACTGAAGTGGAGGATAGAAAAAAAGGCAGAAAAAGAGACTGGCCACTCCAGTTTGGCAATTAATAGCGTTTATGAAGGGAAACCTAACCTAGGAGACACGACCAGGGTGGCTGCAAGGCAAAATAGAGTCCTGCGCCCACTTGGCAGGTGCCAAAGGGTTATATAGAGTAAAAAGGGGTGGGGGCGAGGGTAGTCACAGTACTAGTATGCGGATGCCAGCGGGTATGGGAAATCACATGCTTGTCCAGGTCAGGACAGCAGCCGGTTCCGGGAACCAGCATGAAGTGGAGGCAGGGGAAAGGGTGCTGATTTATGTCAGATAAACATCAGTTCCCATCAGTCTCTAAGTGGTTGCAGTAAGCAACCTCCCTCTTCTGTCCCGGGTCCCGCTTGTGCGTCCGCCAGCAGCCTCAGTTTGGGACAGTCTCTCTCCCACACTTTCGGGTTAGAAAACAAACAGCAGTAAAATACACAAACATACTCAGCACATGTTTTTGTGTCATGTGTTGTCCCAGATGCCTGTCATTCTGGTGGTGTGCTCTCAAGTGTAAACGCGTGAGTTAAGGGGATTGTTTGATAAAATGTAGATACTACATGTGGTTTCCTTTGTTTAAAAATATTTGGGGAATGATGATAAATGCATATTTGGGTCCTCAGGTTGAAAGAGGGGAACAGGCTTACCTAAGGTCCCCAAAGCTGGGAATTATGTGGAGTTGGGCCATGAACCCTGTCTTCTGATTTCCAACCAGTGTGGACGCTCCACAGGGATTATGTATACTAAATTAGAAGTATGTGTAAACGAAAGTTTGCTCGTTTAGTTTATTTGCTTTCCCCTGACATAGCATTCATTTTTAACTAACTTATCACAGTGGAATGCGGGGTGGTGGCTGCCTTAATAGCAGTGGGAAGCGCCAGCTGCCACCTGGGAGGCAAGATTGTCAGCCTTGACTGGATAGTCGCTACAGGTTAGCACACAGCCCACGCGCTCAGTAGTTCCAGAGGTCTCTACTCGAATAGAGCACAGCACAATCATGACATTTGTTATGATGACCTTCATTATCAAGGAAAGTTTAAATTATGTTCAGTGTATTCTACTTAGGAAGACAAAGGAATGATTTATTTTAAGAGTCCCATTTACACTTATTTCACCATGAAAAGGGAGGCAGCATTACATTATTTGGAAATGCATGCAACCACATTTGCACATTCTACACTGCATTACCCTGATTGAGGTTAACAGATATGGGTAGGCGTGAGAGGAGTGGTACATGCAATTGTCCAGATGAACAAGAAATGTATGAAGAGATGCAAGGGAAATAGTATACTTGTTTAAAGTCACAGGCGTTGAAATAGAAGACCTATTGTGGAACCATATATAATAAGTTCGTCTTTTGTATTTAATTGCAGGTGGAAATGAGGACTTATTTATTTCTATCTTTGAAGTAAAAGTGGGAACTAAATAAACATGTTTTGGGTTTTAAAAATATGTGTGTTCTCTAAAGGCTTTTTTTGCATTTATATTTTAGAAAGGTGTCAAGGTTTTTCTGTCTACAAATGTGTGATGAACTATACTGTCATTTAATACAAAGCACGTAATTAGCTGAATTTACCTGTGCTATGATATTGAAAAATCACATAGATGCATCTAAAGGTGCATCAAAATTGAGGATATGGGAAATATTTTTAATAGCGCTTTTATCCATTTTTTATAAAATTAGAAAAAGGACTTGTAAAAATTGTAATGCATAACACTTAAAAGTCATTTCAAGGACTAAGGAAATGAAATGTTTATTTACATCTTAAGGCATATATTCACTTTCTATTGAGAGAGAGAAAAATAGATATTCATTACTGCTTCTGAAAGAAGTTTTCAAATTTCCGTATAAAATTTTGTTCTGAGCGATTTCTTTTCTTTCTTATCCAACATGAGAAAGTAGCAGGGAAGCCGCCAGCTCTGAAACAATGGAACTGTTTGTTGGGTTTTGCATAGATTATGTTGTGTTGATAAAAGAGACTGAGGAGGGACAGAGAAAATGTCTCTTTCTGCACATTTAGCGGGCATTTTGAAAATAATAGGCCAACATCATTTTCTCCTAATTTTCCCTTTTTATGTGTTTATTCACAAGTACTTGTAGTTGAGCCATTGGATAAACGCATCTGTGTAACAGTCTTGCCTTTGGACTTGTGTTTCAGGAGAGCCAGCCATGAGAGGCTACCTCGTGGCTATCTTCCTGAGTGCTGTCTTCCTCTATTACGTGCTGCATTGTATATTATGGGGAACAAATGTCTATTGGTAAGTTTAATTTTTGCTATTTAAAAATAACTTCCAGCCCTAACCGGTTTGGCTCAGTGGATAGAGCGTCGGCCTGCAAACTGAAGGGTCCCAGGTTCGATTCTGGTCAAGGGCATGAACCTCGGTTGCGGGCACATCCGCAGTAGGGGGTGTGCAGGAGGCAGCTGATTGATGTTTCTCTCTCATCAATGATGTTTCTAACTATCCCTCTCCTTTCCTCTCTGTAAAAAAAAATCAATAAAATATATTTAAAAAATAAATAAAATGATCTATTTAAAGAAAAAATAACTTCCAAACTAGTCTTTCACACAGACACACAAATGATATTAGAGGGACCTATTAAAATCGCCTGTAACATTTTGAAACTTTTCTAGCTTTCCATTATAAACCAGGGTTTTATTCTAGTACCCTATATGTTTTAATCTCTAACAGTTTTAAAAACTGACAAGCAACACCTTTTTATTTACTTTCTAGTGAAGCCGTGGTGTTGACCATCTTTGGGATATAACTGTCTTCATATAATATTTCATCTCCTTGAATTGGTGAAGTGATTCTTGGACTCAGAGATACTCAACCTTTCCAGCCTAAAATGCTTGGATAAGAGATTGTTTGGTGAAATGTAGATACTACCTATATCTTCCTTTGCTTAAAAATATTTGATGAATGATGTTATCTGTGTATTTTATAACAACTTTGAGTTAAAATGTCACATATAAAACTTTGAAGAGGTAAAGGTAGTTTTATTGCATAGAAAACTCTGCTAATTGGACTTTTACTCTTGTTCCCATTGTCAGTCCTTTGGGAAAAAAGTATTGATGACCCTTAAATCCAGAATGGGCAGTAGTATACGATTTTACCAAAATAAACCACACAACAACTTCCTGTCTTAGACAAAGTTTAGCTCTTTGTGCTAGCATTTCTATAGTAGATCCTAGATCATGTTTCTAGCCTGTGTTCCTACATACAAATATAAATTGATACTTCTGTATTTAATCATCACTGTTTGATTGAAAAATAATTGTAATACTCCTCATGAAAGGACGTTAACAAATGATCACCAGAAAAGACCCAATGCTAGGTGGGTGGTTTTAGCCACACATTTTTGGCTTTGGACTTAAATATTTAGCTAGAGAACTTAGTCTGATTATATACTACATGAAAATTATACCACAAGAATCTCCTTCCATCTCCACCACATCCTGTCTCTGTCCCACACTTAGTAATGGAAGACAAAAACAAAAGAGAAGGAAGCTTACTAGATCGATATTTACTTACAAATACATTGTTGTCCTAGGAGAAATGGTGAAGACAATGAACTGTCTGAATTCATCAGTCTTTTTTTTAAATTTTAACTTATTGATTTAAGCAAGAGAGAGACACAGAAACACACACAGGGAGACACACACAGAGAGAGACACAGAGACACATACAGAGAGAGACACACAGAGAGACAGAGAGACTGACTTTGATTTGTTGTTCTGCTTGGTTATGCATTCATTGGATTATTTTTTTTTTAATTTAAAATCTTTATTGTTTAAAGTATTACATGAGTCTCCTTTTTCCCTCATTGACCTCTCCCCAGCCGCTCCCACTCCCCAGCACATGCCCTCACCCCCCTACTGTCTGTGTCCATTGGTTATGCTCATATGCATGCATACAAGTCCTTTGGTTGATATCTTACACTCCCCCTCCCCTGCCTACCCTCTTAGGTTGGACAGTCTGTTCAATGCTTCTATGACTCTGCCTCTATTTTTGTTTATTAGTTTATGTTGTTCATTATATTCCACAGATTAGTGAGATCATGTGGTATTTATCTTTCTCTGACTGGCTTGTTTCACTTAGCATAATGCTCTCTATGTCCATCCATGCTGTTGTGAATGGTAAGAGTTCTCTCTTTTTACAGCAGTGTAGTATTCCACTGTGTAGATTTACCACAGCTTTTTAATCCGTTCATAAGCTGATGGGCACTTAGGCTGTTTCCAAATCTTAGCTATTGTAAATTGTGTTGCTATGAACATAGGGGTGCATATACCCTTTCTGATTGGTGTTTCTGGTTTCTTGGGATATATTCCTAGAAGTGAGATCACAGGGTCAAATGGGAGTTCCATTTTAATTTTTTGAGGAAACTCCATACTGTCTTCCATAGTGGCTGCACCAGTCTGCATTCCCACCAGCAGTGCACAAGTGTTCCTTTTTCTCCGCATCCTCTCCAGCACTTGTCGTTTGTTGATTTGTTGATGATAGTCATTCTGACAGGTGTGAGATGGTACTTCATTGTCATTTTGATTTGCATCTCTCTGATGATTAGTAACTTTGAGCATCTATATATATAAAGAAGTAATATGCAAATTAGTCAGGACACAGTAACAGTCAGGACCGGCTCAGGAGGAGGATGTGCACTCAGATGGGCAGGAGGGGACTGCATGCCACTCCCAACCCCAATGGCCACAGCACAGCTGGGGCTGGAGGCGGGCCCAGAGCGGAGACACAACACACAGGGAGGTGGGCCTGGAGCGAAGACACAACACACAGGGGGGCCTGCTCCAGCTGAGAGACAGCACGCCAGCAGTCCCATCTCTGTACATGAGCTACAGAGAAAACACCTTTTCTGACAGCTCATTGGCTAAGCTCCCTGTATGCCACTCGCAGTGTTCTTGGTAACTTGGGTAGTAAGAATTCAAGAAAGTCATCAAGGGTTTTTCCATCTCACTCCTGAAGGAAAAAATGAAGGTCTGCTGCTGAAGGGGCTAAGAAATGTCATATCTTGCCCTAGTCAGTTTGGCTCAATGGATAGAGCCTCAGCCTGTGGACCACAGGGTCTGGGTTCAATTCTGATCAAGGGCATGTACCTAGGTTGCATGCTCCTCCCTGACCGGGGCCCAGGTCAGGGCTCATGCAGGAGGCAACCAATCGAAGTGTCCCTCTCATATTGATGTTTCTCTCTGTCTTTCCTTCTCTCTTTCACGCTCTCTAAAAATCAATGGAAAAATATCCTTAGGTGAGGATAAAAAAAAAAAAAAAAAAAAAATGTCATATCCTATGAAAGAGACATCTTGAAAATGCCTAAAGAAAGTTGTCATTTTTTTCGTGGTGAAGGGACTGGAGTCCATGTTGATGAAAACACCTTGATGGCTGCAGCAGCCGGCAGTGGCAGCAGCAGTGGGAGATGGGGGTGGTACCTTCCCCTGATCAGCTGGTCACCTCCCATAGAGGGAGGCCAGACTATGGCTTAAGACATTAAGCTGTCAGTAGGACATTCCCTGAGGGCTCCTGGACTGTGAGAGGGGGCAGGCTGGGCTGAGGGACCCCCCACCAGTGCACAAATTTTGTGCACTGGGCCTCTAGTGTTTTCATGTCTCTTGGCCTTGTATGTCCTCTTTAAAACGGGTCTATTGAGGTCCTTTGCCCATTTTTTGATTGGATTGTTTATCTCCCTTTTGTTAAGTTGTATGAGTTCCCTGTAAATTTTGGAGATTAAAACCTTATTGGAGGTAACATTGGTAAATATGTTCTCCCATGCAGTGGACTTTCTTGTTTTGTTGATGGTTTCTTTTGCTGTGCAGAACTTTTTATTTTCATATAGTCCCATTTGTTTATTTTCTCCTTAGTTTCCATTGTCCTAGGAGCTGTATTGGTAAAGATATTGCTACAACATATGTCTGATATTTTGTGGCCTATGGATTCTTCTAAGATTTTTATGGTTTCCTGTCTTACATTTAAGTCCTTTATCCATTTTGAGTTTATTTTTGTGTATGGTGTAAATTAGTGGTCTAGTTTCATTTTTTTGCATGTTATCTGTCCAATTTTCCCAACACCATTTATTGAAGAGACTGTCTTGACTCCATTGTATGATATTGCCTCCACTGTCAAATATTAATTGAGCATAATGGCTTGGGTAGACTTCTGGGTTCTCTGTTCTGTTCCATTGGTCTATATGTCTGTTCTTGTGCCAGTACCAGGTAGTTTTGAGAACAGTAGCTTTGTAATATAGCTGTACTGTGATTCTGGTATTCTGTATATCTGGTATTGTGATTCCTCTAACTTTGTTCTTTCGAAGGATTGCTGCAGCTATTCAGGGTTTTTTTTTTATTCCATATGAATTTTTGGAGGGTTTGTTCTAGGTCTGTGAAATATGCCATTGGTATTTAACGGGGAGTGCATTAAATCCATAGATTGCTTTGGGTAGTATGGACATTTTAATGATGTTGATTCTACCAATCCATGAACACAGTATGCTCTTCCATTTGTTTATGTCTTTCTCTATCTCTTTTTTTAGTGACCTGTAGTTTTCCCAGGTATAGGTGTTTTACCTCCTTAGATAACTTTATTCCTAGGTATCTTAATTTTTTGTTGCAATGATAAATGGGATTGCTTTTTGGTTTTTTTTAGTTTCTCTTTCTGTGAGTTCATTATTGGTGTATAAAAATGCCATAGATTTCTGAGTGTTAATTTTGTATCCTTCTGCATTGCTGAATTCATTTATGAAGTCTGATAGTTTTTTGATGGAGTCTTTCATGTCATCTGTGAATAATGAGAGTTTTACTTCTCCTTTTCCAATATGAATGTCATTTATTATTTTACTCTTGTCTAATCTCTATGGCTAGCACTTCCAGTACTATATCAAACAGGAGTGGTGAGAGTGGGCATCCATGTCTTGTTCCTGTTCTTAGGGGAAATGGTTTTAGATTTTGCCCATTGAGTATGATGGCTGTAGGATTGTCATAGAAGGCTTTTATTATGTTGAGGTATGATCTCTCTATTCCCACTTTGCTGAGAGTTTTTATCAGGAAAAGGTGTTGGATTGTGTCAATGGCCTTTTCTGTGTCAAGCGATATGATTATGTGATTTTTGCCTCTCAGTTTGTTTATGTGATGTATAACATTTATTTATTTGCAGATATTGTACCAGCCTTGCATCCCTGGAATAAATCCCTCTTATTGGTGTATGATCTTTCTAATGTAATGCTGGATCCAAGTTGCTAGAATTTTGTTGATGATTTT